AACCACATCTCGGAGTCGGATGTTAACAGGCGGAAATTGTTTCAGGAACTTGCACTATGGCCAAGCATCATCCAGATTTGATTTTCTGCAGGAAACAGCCAGGTGTTGCTATTGGACGTTTGTGTGAAAAATGTAAGTTCAATTCCTAAGGAGTACACCTTGATTTTTGAGCCGTTGATTTTGGCTTTTGATTTTTTTAAACCCCTTATGAATTGACTTGTTTGCAAGACGCTAATTTTAGTCAAGTTGTTTCAAAATATGCTTGTAGCGCTTTCGTTCCCGAATATGGCGCTAAATAATGATACGCGATGATATGAAGCTGATATAATCGTCTTTAGCAGCAAACTACTCGTCGATCGACGACCGTGTTCATCGTTTGCAAGAGATTCATTTCGTCCCAGGGTGCACTTGGATTTTCTGATAGAGGAATCTTTGATAGAAGATATATCTTGGAAAACTTCTTTCACGGTGTAATGCGATCCCTTCGCGCAAGTAGCGCGCACATCCCGTTCAACCGTAACCGTAATGTTCACGACACGGTTTTTCAAAGGAATGTCCTCTTAAACATTTTTCGCTGTTTTTTTAAGCGTTTATAATCTTTGCGGTTAGACTTCACTTTCTTATAGGATTACTCTTGTTTCATTCCCATCGAACATTTTCGTAATCTCATCCACACAAACGTGAGGTCCATTGATCAACTCAACTTTTTAGGTGATGGTCGTTGTGTGATCTGTGATTCGTATGTGCGACCATGCTCATTGGTTCGGATTTGCGACGAATGTAATTATGGGTCATATCAGGTGCTTTTTTCTTCTCGCTATAACTTAATGCTTCTTCTTGATCAGTGCCATAACTGTTCTTTCAAGGGTCGTTGTGTCATCTGTGGTGGTCCTGGTGTAAGCGAGGCTTATTACTGCAAGGAATGTACAATTATGGAGAAGGTAAGACTAGAACCAATTTGAAATTTTAATTGATCTCGTTTGCCTTTATTGTTTGAACTTTTTTTCAGGACAGGGACGGCTGCCCTAAAATTGTCAATCTAGGAAGTGCGAAAACTGATTTGTTTTACGAACGGAAGAAATTTGGACATAAAAAGAACTAGCATTTGTGGTTGGTGGGACGAGCTCGTTCGTGTGACAACCTTGTTCCATCTGGGTATTTTCAAAATTGGGTGTATTGTTCATAGTTTTTTTGCCACCATTTATATTTGTCTGAAGTGTTGAAACTGTCCAATAAAGATTTTCTTTTCTTTCATTCTTAGTGCGCATATCAGGTACACGTCCTTCACATTCTTGCTATTACTATGACAACACAAAAATATCACTAGAAATATTTTAGAATGACCGCTTCACTCTCTAATAAACAAGTGGCGGCTGTAGAAGAGCTCCTCAATGCGTTTTCTGTTCGTCGTGATTGTACGTCTATCCTTATCATTTTCTTCATTCAAAAAAATTGGCTCGTTCATAGGCAATCACAGATAGTGACAAAATAGAAGAAGTGAAGAAGAAAAATGATTATTCCAAGCCATGAGTATTTTCTTTTGTAGCCTCACTCTTGGAGAGTGCTGGATGTCTCTTCTCCTACAACAATATGAGTCCAGGTGCTGTGGGGAAAGAGGTGGCAAAGTTTACTGCAAGAAGTTGGTTTTTTCTATGGTTCAATTTCTCGATAAAATTATCAATTTACCACGAACACACAAACAGTAAACGTACTAGTACATCGCTCGAACACCAAAATATGAGCAACCGGGTTGACAATTACAAGGCATAGATGGGGCCTGCCAGAAGTTCCCGTATTGAGTGTAATGGGGTCGCTCTGAGTTTTCGTGTCACCTAACTTCCTTATTAGAGCCGTGAGGATATTTTGGCGGTAAATCACAACCGGCATCTTGTAAAACTTATTTCTTTGTGAGCTGCAGCATAGTCACGATGAACGTCCAAAAAGTTTTTCAGAAAAGGAATTTGTACCTGTTTAGTGAAAACAAGAGATCCTCGCTTTGCAAGTGTTTTCACTCGAACAATTGACGCCTTACGTGATTCACCTTCAGTTCAAAATGTGGACGCACTCATGGAAGTGCTTGTCAAATGCAGGATGGTATGTTCTGCTTGAAACCTTTTCATACAGTTCCTAACAAAATGCCGTAATTTAGCGGTCATGTATGGGCTACACTATAGTGACCACCGCGACGTGGCGAATACAATAAAACACGGTTGCGCGAGATCTCCTTTTTTCCAAACCGGCAGTTCGCTGAGTCGAAGGGAAAGCTACTCAAGAAATAGGTTCCATAATTCTTTCAAAGCAACTTCATATTCGAGATATCCGATATTCGAGGTAACCGTTGCTTTAATTCCAGACCGTGGTGAACAACACAATTCTATTATCGATTTGAATCAAGACCTGTCACAAAGCACTGCTTCTCAGGGATTGTTAATCAAGTATACGTTACTCCTCACACTTCTGCAAGAAATCCTCTGTTCAGGTATCTTGAACATTTATAAATTTTATTTTTTCCAATGCATGAGTGAAGATCACTTGAAGCTAACTGTCGCTTTCCACTCACTGTTATGAATGAACCTGAACAGATGCCAAATTGAAGCTGGGGTTACTTTCTTTATGTTCGTCGAGATTACGGAGCATTAGTACAATGAGCTCTCAGAGAACCGGCCGAGTTCTTTTTTGAAGAATTACTCGCAAAAACTTACGCATGCAATTGCATAATAAACACTAGACCATGAGTTAAGGAACAGTCAATTAGGTGTCGGCTTACACGATTGTGACCGCCCAAGTCTGACACCTGCCTCAAAGATCTGCTTCTAAAGATCATTTGTGCTTGAAAAATTTTATTATATAGCTGAGATGTTCACATAACAATCGCGCTATTTTATTTTGTCAGAATGTGATTCGCTAGCGGATCGCTGGATTCGCAAAGTATGATATCGACCTGAACTGGCTTCGTTTGAATACATTATACGAAATCAAAATGTGTGGTGCTTTTAGTGTTGGTGTGTCACCATCGCCATGTCAACGTTCCGATGTTGCATCAAGTAATGGACCTTCTCGTGTAATGAGGGTTGATCCAATGCCTTATGGTAGGCCACTCACCGCTCGTATGGGAACTACTGCCAGTTAGGTGGTTTATATGATTTTTTATACTTGCGATCATCATGGCTGTAGTGGTATTCACAACCTATGGCGGTCTCGTAGGGCTCATGTGACTGCATGATGTTCATCGAAATGCATAATCAAATGTCCTGAAGAACATGGCGGATGTAGTTTTTTTGATAAAATGTAACAAAATCTTGGAGGTTGATTATAGGAACGCACGAGAGTATTAGACCAATTTTGTCTTCAAGCTCAATTTAATTCCCGTTTGGTAGCTGTTTCAAGGTATGGTCGTATTTAATCCCTTCCTTCCTATACTTTAAGTGCTCATCTTCCGATCCTCAATCGCATAAGGCTTAAGTTTTATCTCGTTTCTCCCCGAAAGGTTATCCGTTGTAGCCCATCTTTTCCCCCATTTTGCCATGGGCACAGATGGAGGTGCTCTTCTTGATTTTTTCTTGCTCTTCTGTGACTACTCACTTTTGGTTTTGATTTCAAGTTTTATCTATCTTCTTTGTTCCTGAAAAATATTCTAATTGATTCCCTATTGATTTGTGTTTAGGTGTGCCAGAGCGAATCTTATGTATAGAACTCTGCGGGGCGCTCCAGGGTTTGGAAGGCACGTACTTCAGAAAAGACTCTCGGGGATACTTGCGAGTTACCGATTCTTGCTCCATATCGCAGGTCTCTTATTAACTTACTTTTGCACCTGGTCTAATACTCTCAGTCACATGTTTTAGGCTCAAAGATCTGTTATTGAAAGTGCTTTGTCTATTGCTCATTTATATATTGACGTGGCCCGAGTACCTGTCAATCGCGACGATGATTTACTTGCGCAGGTAGGTTCCCTCGATCTTTTTCTTCATTTTATTCTGTTCTTTTTTGGTATATTTTTTGTTGCTAAAGCTAGCAATATCTTTTCACTAATGCTTAAATAATATTTGAGGCATTTTTGTTGGAATCGCAGTCAATCCTTGAGGAATACATCCATGACGTTGGTGACGTTCCCGTTAATGTGGGTCATTTTATAGTACAGCTAGGCAATCGCTGTTATAACGAACGGCTGTGTGAATTGGTAGCGTTATTTTTACGTTTCTAGTGCCGCCCTTTGACTGTTCTCCGCATTCTCTCTGCAATGGAAACATGGAGGGATCGCTTAACTACTTTGCAGAGATTATATAGCCTGCGGAATGAGCCAGGGACTCGTTTGATGGAATTAATATACACCGCTTATAGCTCTGTGAGGGAAAACTTGTAAGGGACTTATTTTCATATTGCGCAATGAAATGAATCTTTTATTTACTTTATCACTTCGTTTAGTGTTGTGGATAAAATATTGACTTGTTGTGCTGGAGTTTTGTGTCGTTCGATTTCACGATGGATCAGCGGGTTCGAACTCAGTGACTGTGATTCGGTGAGATCTTCTGTCAATATCACCATCAGAACAGCCTTTTTTGTGCCTCTGTTTGACGTTTTTGTTTTGGCATTTTTCAAAGTTCGATCATTTTACTATCATTCCAGCAAATGATTGCCGTGTGCCCACAACAGGGTTATCGATTGATATGGGTTCCGCCTTTCTTCCCTAAGTGGATTGCAGAATACGTAAGCATTAATTTTTTCACCATTCTTTGACTGCTACATAGGAAGCGCTCTACAACTTGGTTCACATCAGGTTTTGAAAATCGGGAAGTCCTGGAGGTCGGTTGACTTGCGGAGCAGCTCAGAGAATCTTGATAAAGCTAGAGCAATTGTCGCTTCCCAGTTAGACTCGAAGTGTCTATACCTACAGAGTAAGTCATAAGTATGGTGCTATTTGATCATTGCACATTTCTTTACTGTTTTTTTATTGATAATGTATGAACGAGAAATATTGTTACGGTGGAAAAGAAATCTTGCCAAACCTCAGGTGAACGTTATAAATTGACTACGTGGTGCGTGAAGCTTGCCGTCTCGTATGCGGCAGTGTGGTGCGCAGCCTTGTGGTGGAACATCATTTGCTAGACCACTTTGACGCTGCTCATTGCCTTCTCCTGCTCCATGATGCCCAGTTCTCTCTGTCTTTGTATCGTCAATTCTGGTATGTCATGTTCAATACCAGCTTGAATTTCTGCGAAAGTCTTATTTAGTGAGTGCACTCACGGACTTCGAAGCAAACTGTCAAAACGTGATGCGAATAATGCGCTCGTTGCTGCAGCAGCTTCATCAACAACTGCAAAGCGTTTTCCTTTTCAACTTAACCTAGAATCTCTTTGTCCAGTATGTTGACTTTATTTTCATAAACTTCCAATCCCATTTATTGATTACTTTTATTTGCAGGTCAACGACACGCCGAATACTTCTTCTCGTTTGCAGTTTGTGCAACCCCTTCGGCCTGTCTATCGTCCTAGAGGGCCCGTGGGAGAAATATTTAGGAATACAGAGAAAAAGTAAGTTTCCATTGATCAAATTTTTAACATTTCCGAGGAGATCAAGACTTTGTCACTAGATACGAGTCACTGTTCTACTTTGTATGGCCTTTGGAAATGAGCTTACTGACGATCTCCGAGCAAGCGAATGCTGTGAGGCAGTCGACTGCACGAATGAGCCGTCGTAGTGCGAATGGTAGGTTGTTGATAGACAAGTTTCCCGAATTTGTCTCGTTTATAACTTTTGTGAATATTCTAGAGACAGTCAAATCACTTCGCTTAACGTCAGCTTTGCTGTCCTGCTGTGAACGTGTTCTACTTCGAATTCGTATTTACATAGCGGAAGTCGTACGTCGTCTTGAAGTTGTACTGACATTTTTGTGACCTATGGGTTGTTTCCTATATTAATACTGGAGGCTAAGGCTTGCCTCTGATAGATCCCTTTTTGAGATGCGCCACGCACTCTAGTTCTATTCAGAATCGTGCCATTTGAATGGGATTTGCCTGTGCAATGTAACCTTACACAACACCACATACAAGGGTGTGCGCAGTAGCTTATGTCCAAGTCTGTTTTTGTTCCCCAAACGAGTCTCGTACAGTTTGACCCACCTTAGAGGGATAAAGATTGTGGTCCTGATCGAGAACGTACTCGACCCGCACCGCACGCGTGTGAAACGGCCTCGCTTGCCACTACTCCGCTTCCTCCCATATTCCTACATATTATGTTGTGATTCTTCGGTTTCTACTTTTCTTTCTCACTACTAGTTCCTGTTTTTCACCACTTGATTTTAAGCTAATTTAGGTGGACCAGTTCTTCAAACGACTACGCCTTTGGATTGATGAGGCGATAGATCTGGATGCTGTGGTGGAGGCTCACAATAACTATCTCGGATCGCCTCCAAGCGCTTGCTTTTTCTAAAAACACATGAGACGGAGATAATCATAGTATACAAATTTTTAACACTTTAAATCCCCGTTATAACGAATATCTCACTACCTTTTTTATGGTTTTATTGAAAAAGCTTTACATTACTTCCCAAACAAGTTTCATGATGAAACCTATACTTTTTCGTTCTAAAAGGTGCAAAAGAGATCAAGGACACTGAAAAATCCGAACTAACATCATTAACCATACCCCCTTACTTCCGCTTGAGATCGTGCCCCATCGGCACGCGGTACCAAAGGTTTTAATAGCGCGCTCAGCAGAGCACCATTTGTACCCGAAACTGCAAATATCCGAAGCTGTAAAGTGGTACGGGTTGCCTTTAGCATGAGTTACAGCTCGTGGAAAGTTGGGCTACGTCGACGGCCCGCACTTTTTTGTTGGAGGGAAGGATCCGACTCAGATTTTTTTCGTGATTCTCTACAGCGCTTGTTTTAGTGCATTTCAAAAGCGCAGACTACACTCTCCAAAAAAGTCTCAGTGGGTTGACGTCAGGTGAATCTCTTCCCATTGTAACGTAGGGGAAAATTCGAGATATTGCTGCTGCACACCTGTCTTTCGCCCGCTTTCATTTGCGATAAATAGGAGGTCATTCATAGAGTATAATGAAAGAGCGTGGAGACGAGCGAGACGCAGATACACCGTTGTGCACAATGTTACATTGCGTCCTTGTTGGCATCTTGCAGCATACTTGTTACGTTCTTGGGCAGATGCTTTTGAAAGCGTACTATAATTTATATTGGATATATACTACACAGATCAGAAAGAAGAAGAGTTGCGGTAATGACTACATTTCATTAATACTTACAGGATATCCATGGCCTTATAATGTCCATCCTTCAAATTTCTCATGAACTATCTCAACACTGCTTGGATATCATCGCTGAAATGGAATCAGTTCCCCAACGTACACTGATTAATGGTAAAGATGATAATCCAACAAATGCGAAAACAACGCAACTCCTGGTAACCCAGGCTAAATTACAAGTAGGTCCTTTTGACTATCGTGTTTCTTACTAAGAATGTGGAAAAATATCTCGTTTCCAGAAAATATTTCATGGACTGCATTCACGGATAAATGATCTCAGCAAACAGCAAAATAATTCAGCATTCACAGTTCTTCTGGGTATTTTGGAGTAATGTTTTTCTCATTCCAGTGATTTTACGAGTTACAACTAGTGGGTGATACTTAAGTATGTGTTATTATTTTAGAGATCATGGTTCAATTTGTGTTATTTGTATATCGGAATACATAATACTATGATCCGAAAAAAGCACAGTAATAAATTTTATTGACATGAAAAAGGTTGACAGTAAACACCCGTAAGAAAAACTATGTATAATTAATGTGAGAAACTAGTAGTGAACATGAAAGCAACAAACGAAACAAGTGTAGCAACATATTTGAACATGAGAAATGCGAGTGACTAAAAGTCGTGGTGTAAGCCCATTGTGATCAGTATCTCAAGCACAATGAATGATTATAGAGCAGCACTCTCTAGGAATATGTAACCTTTGGTTTACTCCGCGTAAGAATTTCAGAAATGACATCCATGAAATTCCCACCTTGCAATTCTCAGAATGGTCCGTTGATGGTCCTAAAATGCGGTGCACATCCTTGTAAATCACCAAAGGATTACCGTGATTATCAAGGTACTGGTTTTGTGCCCGAAAATGAAAGCAGGTCAATGCAGATGGTACCCTCGATAAAAGGAATAAAATTGAGTGTTAATTGCAAGTTTTTGGTAAACAGCTCTTTTAGCTGAAAATGAGAAATCGGAAAGCGGTCATGCGGGTGGCGAATAGCGGGAAAAACTCCTAGGCTCATTTACATTATGGTAAACGCCGCAAGAGTTACCTTCCCATTCAAAAAGCGAGAAAGTGTCGGGTGCAGACCATACACCACAAGTGACGACGGCCTCCAAGTAAATCTGGTTAGTAGTGGTTCATAGTGATAGCTGATTTTGGTAAATGATAGTTGTAATTAGTGACAACAAA